TCAGGCTTATAGTCTCTCTCACACTCGAGTCCCCCGTTGTCCCCCAAGCAACCCTGATATTCACTGCAAATATGTGTGTACCAGTGTGTGTGCGTGTTTCCTGAATGTGGTTTTCTCCCCCTGCAGAGAGAATCTTCCCTCCATCTCATCACTCTTTCCTGGCCTCCTCGTCCCTCCCTCACTTTTGACACGCTAAAGCTGCACATTTTATTTTTCTTCCTCCTGCCGAGAGGAAGTGTCTTTTCATGGCTTCTCGGCTTTCTCCCATAAACCCCTCCACACAGTGCCCTGTGTTTGGATTGGGTCTCCATTTCAAACAAAAGTCTGAGGCGGGATTACCAGCCCCTCTCTTCCTCTCTTTCACACTTCTCCTTTCAAGTGGCAGTGTCCGGGGGATTTGAGAAGCCTGTTGCTGCTTCTGAAATCTTCCTCCTTCCTTTTCAAGGACAGGTGACCGTAAACTGACCGAGAGAACATTTAAAAGCTTCATAAAGCGCTGTCGATAAGACCTATTCGGATCAGTTGTGTATGGAAGCAAAATGATGTTTAAATCCTCCCCTAATGTCCTGATATCTTATAAATCTCATCTCAAATAAATAGAAACCGTTTAGTGACTTCCATTAATCTGAGACTCACATAGCAAAGCAATTATTTCATATTATTTTGAATTTGGAGAGATAACAAAGCTCCAACAACAACAACAACAACAACAAAGTAACTCATTTGTTTTAATTTATTTTGTTTGTTTTTAATTGTGGATAGATATCATAAGGCTCTAAAAACAACTAATTTACCTTATTTTATTTTGAATGTGGACAAATAAAAAATAAGGTATTCCTTGTTTTTAGAACTTTATTTTATTGAATTTTTCATTCAAAGTGAATGTGGACAGAAATATGTGGACTAAAAATAACTTTATTTTACTTTACAATTTTTTTTTTACTTTACCATTTTATTTTATTTTATTTTATTTTGAATGTGGACAGATATAATGAAGCTCCAAAAATAACAAAATAGTACCTTTTTATTTTATTTTAATTTATTTTATTTTACAGTCAAAGTGAATGTGAACAGATGCCATAGAGCTCCTAAAAATAACTTTTTTATTTTACTGTTTTATTTTTTACTTTACCATTTTATTTTGTTTTATTTTGAATGTGGACAGATATAATGAAGCTCCAAAATGACAAAAAAAAGTACCTTTTAATTTGTTATTTTTTATTTTTCATGCAAAAGCTTTATGTGAAGAAAAGACCAAAATTTTTTGAAATTTTATGAAAATAAAATACAATCAAATATGGTGCCTTAAGGACATGGCAGGCCAAATTTGAGTTAGGTCAAACCATATTGGTTCTTGAGTTTTTTGACCAATCTTCATTGATGCCAAACCTGCCTCTTTTCATCTTATTGCACCATATTTGATTTCAGATTTGATCTGTTCCTCACAGAAATCAGTCATGTCTTCAAAGGACTTGGAGTGCACAAATAGTATGCCCCGCTTCTATGGTTCCTTTATGATCATTTAGTGAGTTTGACAGGAAAAAAGTGCAGCGTGAACACTCATCAAAGCATCTCCTTTTGTTTTCCACTGAAGTAAAGAAAGTCACACAAACAAAATTTTAATTTCATTAAAAGTCACTTTTAGTGACTCTGTGATGAATGAATCTGAATCTGTCCTTCCACTTGTCAAAAGTGATTCTCCCTCGTGTAAACTCACCCTCCTCCACTTTAAACCACTCTCCTCCTGAAGTTTAAGAATCGCCCACCCTCTTAAACCCCTGCGATGGCATGGTGGGTTTCCTCTAAAGAATTCAGATGAAGAGAGAACAACAGGGTGGGTCTCCTCAGAAGAAAAACAAGCTTTGAAAGATTGACTGCTGAAGGAGGAGGGGAGGGAGGCTAATTATACACACACTCAGTTTCTCTCTCTGAAGAACAATTCACTGAACCCAGAGTCCATTCAATTGCTCTCTGCCTTGTTCACAAAGACCTGTCAGGATTTTCAGGGAAACAGCATTAAAGATGTGGCTTACTTAATTAGCTCATGCCATTGTTGCCGAAGTGACTTAAACAACACTTGCTCGTACAGACGCGATTGTCTTCAGGGGAATATAATGGTGGCACGGGATAATAGATAATCAGTTTGGAGATGCCACAACATTTGTTCTGCTTCATAAAGCCGGTGTTGTTCAGCGTAAGAGTGCACTTCTGAAACGCATGCAAACGCTGAGATGTAACCGCTGACTGGAGTCATTTCATTAGACGTTAAGTGGTTCCTTTTAGTGTTTTAGGTCAAGTTTGTTTGGTTGCTTATTTTTGTATTAATTTTTTAATGGCAGTAAGTCACTGATTACAGACCGTTGAAATGATTCGCAGAAACTTCTTGCATTTGGATTTGTGTATTTGCATGGAAATGTGAGTGGAGCTTGTTGATACGATGACGGGGTGTCAAACTTAAGCTTTTCCTCATCTGTCCTTCATATTTCTTTGGCTTTTTGCGGTTGAAATGCTAGTGAGTGTGGTTGAGATGTATGAGTTTGTCCCCCGTCAGAGGAAGTGTGTGTTGTTTGAGGATAATGAAGGGGTGTGGCTTCATTTGCACTCCCATCATGGCGCCAATCACTGCTGCTGTAAATTGAAGTTTTAGTCTTTGGCTTTACATAAATACTATTGTGTTTTCTTGAGACTCAGTGCTCGTTTGCTGTCTTTTGTGTTGATTCTCATGCACAACCGTCATAAAACATTATTTTTGCCGCATTAAGGTAGATATAGATTATTTAATTTTTGAAAGAAAAAAATTATAATTCATAATTCGGTAGAAAGAACATCAGGTCGGCGCTGATAGCCGCGTGGGCAGTGTGCAGACAAACCCAACTCGTGGACTGGCTCTCTCCCACTTCACTTCCTGTCTACCAACTGTCCTAACAAAATAAATGCAAAAAAAAGAAAGCACATCAGTATGCACGTGCAATGACTCAAATTATAGTACTAATTTTAATCTTAGATTTCTTGAAATGTATATAGTTTACAGAAACCAGAAGTGAGTACCACCTAAGACTGAAATTATCTACAAAGAGATTTTGTAAGATTTTGCACGAGCGTGCAAAACTGCGCCGCTTTCAGCAGTGAGTGAATTCTGACAAAACGTTTCTGATTGGCCATTGTGTTTAAGAAATCAACAGATAGGTCTGTGATTGGTTACATTGCTCAACGCTGCAAAAACACGTTGAGGGTATTTAGCGCTTGGCTAAGCGATCCAATTGCAGCTGGGCCGACATCAGGGATTCCATGACTAACAATTGCGCCCCCTTGCCCCCCCCTAATGTCACCCATGGTGCTGACTATATATAGACTTGCAAGTGTATATTTCATTAAGAATAATTCAATACTAGCCAGCCCATTCTCATCTATAGTGTAACTGTCATTATTTCTGTCATTTCTCTCTATCATCTTGTTGGTTTGTTGTCATCAACATTAGCGCTGTGGTTATGGTGACAGTGTCTTTGTGGAGTCTCGTCCCGGGGGAAACCCGTCACCGACATCTCTCCAGACTCTCTTTACCTCTATCAGCTCTCTCTCACTCAGTCTCTTCTGTGTGTCACTCACCCCGACGAGGCAAACAACAGCTCCTTTCTGCTCCTCTTATCACCCGCCGCATGGGGTCAGTGGGTCAGACCACCACTGAGCATGCTCAGATACACTCGTATCGATTTTAATTTAGCGCCGTACCCCTCGCCATCGCCATGAATGCCAGCTGAAGAGAAGAGAGGGGGCGGCTGGGTGATAGAGAGGGATAGATAGAAGTCTGGTGCGTGCTGAAGAGTTGGACTCCATTCTCTGGTCCGAGTGTGTCTCTTTCAGCCCTTTTCTTTGGGCCTTCGATCTGGCGAGCTGCCGGCGGCCCCCTAGAGGGTTGAGGGGCCAGTGTTGAGAGGGCCTCCTTTGTGGGGATTCACCGGGCAGGACTGACAACACTGACAGCGGCGATAAAAAACGTGGCTTCCCCCCAACGCACACACTCCTGTATTGTCCACGATAGACATGCTGTTCACAATGTGTAACCTTTCGATAGCCAGACAGACTTTAACCCTCTAGATTCTGATGGAAACCAGTCTAAAGAAAGTTAATGCTGCGGATGTGTGATTTGTACGTTTAACCCGCTTCCCTTGTGACCTCTATCATAACCATAACTGAATTACTCTGGACTTCATCAAAGTCACAGATATGATTGTCAGAAATACAGACTCTGCTGGGATTGTCATATATTCATAAGTCGCAAAGTTAATCACATTTAACCAGTGGTCGACAAAGTAGGAGGAAGACTGGAGGTGATATTAGATTAATTTATACACTATAAATGTATAGCCATTAAATGCACTGTATTATGATTATAAAGAATTTAATGCAAGTATAAAATATAAAAATCTAGCTTGTCAACCTTATACATATATCATTGAAAATTGTAAAAAATTGTATTTACTTATTTATTTCATTTCATAATCATTTAACATGCTTTGTATTGTTTAGTTCATAAAAATTGGTGTTAAAAACAGTAGAAAAAAATACAATAAATATAATATAAAATATTTTATATATTTTATAAAAATATTATTAAATAATTAATAAATACTATATGCAACACTACACTATACATTTGATTTCATTTTTTTTTTAAAGTCAGGAATTGTCATTTCTACCAAAAGAACTAAAGCAATACAAATAAATATATAAAATAATAAAATAAAATATATAAAAATAATAAATAAAGACGTGTGTTCCATAGTTGTTTTTAATCAATATATGTATGTATAGATTATTTAACTATTTAAACTTATATAACAAAACCTTGTACTAAGCAACAATATTTACTTACATGATTCAGAGTTTTGATTTGATTCACTATAACAGAATGGTGTTAGCTATCAGAATGACCACTGATAAACAAAACCGTGTGTTTACAAGAATTAAAAGTGGAGCTCTATTTGTGTCGTCATTCTCAGGGAAGAGAAGGAGCGCTGGATCCGGGCGAAGTACGAGCAGAAGTTGTTCCTGGTGGGGCTTCCTCAGTCAGACGTGCCTCTGGGACAGCAGCTCCTGCGGGCCGTGGTGGAGGACGACCTGAGGCTAGTGGTTGTCCTGCTGGCCCACGGCACCAAGGAAGAGGTCAACGAGACGTATGGGGACGGCGACGGACGTACCGCCCTGCACCTGTCCTGCGCCATGGCTAATGTGGTCCTCACGCAGCTGCTCATCTGGGTAAGAACTCGCTTTTTGAATCCGCCTTTCATTCTCAATTGTCCCTCCATCATTAATTTCATCGTCTATTTCAGTACGGCGTGGACGTGAAGAGTCGCGACGCCCGCGCTCAGACGCCGCTGTCCTACGCCCAGCGAGCAGGAAGTCAGGAGTGCGTCGACATCCTCATCCAACACGGTTGTCCCGTGACGCCCACAGCCACCCAACACAATCCCAACATCAACAACAACGCTCAATGCGAGCTGAACCGTAGTGTTAGCATCATGTGATCGTGGCCCGCAGTGTCTCTAGTGTCTCTTCTCAAAGATGTTGATGTTCCCATAGATGCTGCTCTCGTTAAATGGCATCATTTCCCTCAGCAGTACGTCTTTATTAGGAAACTGTGCGTAATGCCACATGTGGCACGTAAACCCATTACCCTCATGACGACTTCCTGTGACCAATGTTAGCGTACGGCAAGAATTAGCAGTGTTAACATTATCAATGCGTGTTATTTTTAAGCTGAAGAAAATTAGGTTTTTAAGGATCCTTTCTTGTGTGTGTATAGAACAAAAAAATGAAATGATGGGCAACAGGTTCTAAAGATAAGTTCGATTTTTTTAAGGTACATCGGTTTAGAAATAATCAGACGACAGTAATGGATCCTCTGCATTGCGCCCACGCGTTTTTGTCCATCAGAACATTAAATTATGTTGTTACAGGGAAAATTCTGTTATTATTTACTGCCCCCCCAAACTTTCTTTCTTCTGCTGAATACACGCAAATGTATAGCCATTAAATGCACTGTATTATGATTATAAAGAATTTAATGCAAGTATAAAATATAAAAATCTAGCTTGTCAACCTTATACATATATCATTGAAAATTGTAAAAAATTGTATTTACTTATTTATTTCATTTCATAATCATTTAACATGCTTTGTATTGTTTAGTTCATAAAAATTGGTGTTAAAAACAGTAGAAAAAAATACAATAAATATAATATAAAATATTTTATATATTTTATAAAAATATTATTAAATAATTAATAAATACTATATGCAACACTACACTATACATTTGATTTCATTTTTTTTTTAAAGTCAGGAATTGTCATTTCTACCAAAAGAACTAAAGCAATACAAATAAATATATAAAATAATAAAATAAAATATATAAAAATAATAAATAAAGACGTGTGTTCCATAGTTGTTTTTAATCAATATATGTATGTATAGATTATTTAACTATTTAAACTTATATAACAAAACCTTGTACTAAGCAACAATATTTACTTACATGATTCAGAGTTTTGATTTGATTCACTATAACAGAATGGTGTTAGCTATCAGAATGACCACTGATAAACAAAACCGTGTGTTTACAAGAATTAAAAGTGGAGCTCTATTTGTGTCGTCATTCTCAGGGAAGAGAAGGAGCGCTGGATCCGGGCGAAGTACGAGCAGAAGTTGTTCCTGGTGGGGCTTCCTCAGTCAGACGTGCCTCTGGGACAGCAGCTCCTGCGGGCCGTGGTGGAGGACGACCTGAGGCTAGTGGTTGTCCTGCTGGCCCACGGCACCAAGGAAGAGGTCAACGAGACGTATGGGGACGGCGACGGACGTACCGCCCTGCACCTGTCCTGCGCCATGGCTAATGTGGTCCTCACGCAGCTGCTCATCTGGGTAAGAACTCGCTTTTTGAATCCGCCTTTCATTCTCAATTGTCCCTCCATCATTAATTTCATCGTCTATTTCAGTACGGCGTGGACGTGAAGAGTCGCGACGCCCGCGCTCAGACGCCGCTGTCCTACGCCCAGCGAGCAGGAAGTCAGGAGTGCGTCGACATCCTCATCCAACACGGTTGTCCCGTGACGCCCACAGCCACCCAACACAATCCCAACATCAACAACAACGCTCAATGCGAGCTGAACCGTAGTGTTAGCATCATGTGATCGTGGCCCGCAGTGTCTCTAGTGTCTCTTCTCAAAGATGTTGATGTTCCCATAGATGCTGCTCTCGTTAAATGGCATCATTTCCCTCAGCAGTACGTCTTTATTAGGAAACTGTGCGTAATGCCACATGTGGCACGTAAACCCATTACCCTCATGACGACTTCCTGTGACCAATGTTAGCGTACGGCAAGAATTAGCAGTGTTAACATTATCAATGCGTGTTATTTTTAAGCTGAAGAAAATTAGGTTTTTAAGGATCCTTTCTTGTGTGTGTATAGAACAAAAAAATGAAATGATGGGCAACAGGTTCTAAAGATAAGTTCGATTTTTTTAAGGTACATCGGTTTAGAAATAATCAGACGACAGTAATGGATCCTCTGCATTGCGCCCACGCGTTTTTGTCCATCAGAACATTAAATTATGTTGTTACAGGGAAAATTCTGTTATTATTTACTGCCCCCCCAAACTTTCTTTCTTCTGCTGAATACACGCTTTAAAAAAAAAAGATATTTGGAAGAATATTGGTAACCAAAGAGTTTTGGTTCACATCGAAGTCAATAAACAAAACTGTTTGATTACCAACATTCTTCAAAATATGTTCTTTTATGTTCCACAAAACAAATAAAGTCATACAGGTTTAAAATGACATGACGCGGAGTAAATAATGACAGAATTTCATTTTTGGGTGAACTATACCATTAAATCTGAAATTTTGGTGAAACCTGTCAAAAGCGTGTCTGTGTATTACACCTTAAAGTCAAAAGAAAAAAAATAGCTTTAATACTTAAATGTTACGGTTTAAATAAGGGGGAAAATATTAGTATTTTTATTTTAATCACTACAAAATACTGTATTACAATAATGAGAATAAAATGTAAAGAAATAAACTGAAAAATATATGTTGAGAATATAAAATATATCAATGCATTTCAGTAAAAATGGGGGGGGGGGATCACAGTGCAAAAATATTCCTTGATATTTTTTTTTTAAAGCAAAACATAATTTCTCATTTTTTTATTTTGGCTTTGAGGTGACCAGGACACGTTCTTGTACGTTTTTAACGCAAATATCTATAAATGCTTCATTAAATTCTACTTAATTATGATTTTTATGATTTATGCAAAAAAATTAAGTGCATATTTCACTAAAACTTCACACATTTTATAGGTGTTCTACCATTGTGCCCTTGAACGAAGCTCAGAAACACTAAGGCTGCTGGGTAAAACATTTCCATTTGTAGCATCAGTGCAATATAACAAAACCCAAATCATAATACTCATTGCTATTTTACACTTAGCCTTTACGTGATTGTCTTGGAAGGGCTTGATTGCCTGACGAATACTGTGTTATTGCGGATGCCTTGTGCGAATCATTTCTGCACCGGTCTGAAGTGGTCTTCTAACTGTTTGACACGTCCCTCTCCTGCCTAATGACAGATCCATTCAGTAGCAGCGGACGGGTACCGTCCCGCTAGATTATGAAATAAGACGCTCTCGCCGTTAACTCCTGTGAGAGCGTAGTCTAATGACCTCCACACTTGTGACTGTGTGGCTGTTTTTGTATCCATTCGAATCCAGACGTGTGTTTCTAATCGAATGGGATGGTGATGTGGATAATGTACAGATGTGTGTATAAAATAGCTTTTCCTGCAGCTAGTTGTGTGTCGTGTGGGCAATTTCTGGATGAGATGGCCGTTATGTACCCATCTGAAACCTATCAGCCTTAACCCTCGTTTGCTAGTGTGTACGCCGTTAACTTTTACTTGAAAGATGAAATCATGATTAGAACTTAATTAATATTTGGCACATGTGGGTTAAAGGGAATGCGGTAAAGCGAGAGGGAGATGTTGAACCTCTTTAAATGAGTCCTTACCAGACAGTATTTTAAGTTTACATGATTTTTTTAGGCGTTTTACCTTCTAGCAGGTACGTTTTCTTTCTTATTCGTGTCAGATTTGTACATGCAACCCTCATCTAACTAAGCTTTAGGAGAATTGCCATTGATTTTTAAAACAACGTCTTTTAAACCCGTTTTAATTCTGGAGGCTCATTCCCAACAACATGCATGGAAAGTTACCCTCTTGATCTTCATAAAGTGAACATGTATCAACGTTATGATCTTTTTTTTTTTTAGATATACATTGAGTTTGGGCTCCTGTGTATGACGTGAGGTTGCTAAAATGAACTGTTAGGGAGTATGGCAGTTGAAAATGATAAACACTCGCCCGTCATCCCTGCGACTGCTGGGTTATTGAACGCTGGGATGCGCCCATAAAGCTCCTGAAGTAGCCGTATAGCAGATAGAAGCACCGTTTTGTTTTCAAGTTGTTTTTGGTACCTGGTTTTGGGTCTCAATGTGTCCACATTGTCTGGCCGTTAAGGTACTTTGTGTATTATATGTACATTTGACATATTTATAAAAGCAAGATGTAAATAATTCCTTTTGTTGTTGCTTTTATTGAGCTGTTTGATAACTTTGTTGTTTCTTTTAATTTGCCATTGTTTTTAAATGCTCCTTCCGAACATGATGGAGCGCTTTCATGAGAGTTAGCTGTTGTGTGATTGGATGCTTGGCTGGCTATTGACATAATAAACACTCCAATAAAATGATTTATACCATGAATGCTGAGAAATGTTGTCATTCATTCCTTGATCATAAGATTATGTAAATGTGTGACTGCCAAAATGTCTTTACAGCCTTTATTGTGTGTTTTCTCAACTCTTTCTAAACATGATCATGGAAACCATTTATCATTTTAAAAAATATTTTCATGATTAGCTTTGAGGTCATCAATAGTTAGTCTAGTCATAAAAGCAGACTAGACTCTAAAACATGCTGGGTTGTTTCAACCCAACTTTGGGTTATTAACTATTTAATGTAAAAATTTAACCCAACAGTTGGGTTAGTCCATATTTGACCGAAAATTGGGTTGAAACAACCCAGCATTTTTTAGAGTGTAGTTAGTTTTTAAATAGCATTTTTGTGCACATATTGTGTAGATATTTTGTCAGATTATAGAAGTACACTAGCATTCCTCACTGGAAACCAGAAATATGAATAGCATTAATTGTATCAAGTGCCATAGTGATGGCATAGTTTTGTAGGCCAATCCAGCATCACAAAAAAAGGGGGGGGGGGGATTTTTTCCATTGGTCTTTGGATTATTACAGAAAATAAGCTCTGAGACCAACAAAAGTTTGATTCTTACACATTTAGTTCGTCATGATAATTTTCACAAATGAAACCAACTTGTATGAATTTTAAAGCCTAAATGCCATTGCCAAAATAAAGCTATACTCTAAAAAATGCTGGGTTAAATACAACCGTCTGGGTAGTAACCCAACCGCTGGGTCAAAACAACCCAATTGCTGGGTTTGTCCCTATTTTACCCAGCACTGGGTTGTATTTAACCCAGCATTTTTTAGAGTGTAAAGTTTGGCTTTAAACAATCAAGTCAACACCACAACTACATTTATTTAAAAAATTTTAAAAAGCATTTGAGCTAGAATAGTTTGCAACTGTAAAGCTGTAGAAGCAGACTATGAGTAGCCTAGATGAGTTTACCTGTGCGCAACCTTTGTAGTACCATTTAGCCACTTGTATTTGAGTGGGGTATTTATGCATGTATTTTATGTCTTAGAATAAAAGCCTGGGTTAGCCTACCCACAGATTACCAGCGCATTACCAAACACCAATTACAAAAAAAAAAACTTGATTTAAGGATGATGGAACCGGAAGTTCAATAGCTACTACCACCTGAGTGCTTGTGACATAAACCAAAGCGATGCCATCTGTATTTTTCCTGGAAGATTTTAAATGCATATTTGCGCTGAAAGCTATAGTTTTGTTTACATATTAGCATATAGCTGCTCAGCTCAAAGCTACCAGACCTGGACTAAAAGCCCCCCCAAAAAGTCAATTTTGCTTTCATAAGCGGTTTAATTGTCATTTGATGTTCTCTTTCTTCGCATTCTCTCAATCTTGCGTTTATCACTTGTTCTTTCTCTCCCGTCCTTGTTTGGATTCTCCGTGTCTCTCTCTCGCTCGCTCTTCTCAGTGCGTTAATTTGCCTGAGAATGCATTAGCTGTAATGAGAGCTGAAGGCCGAGGGAATCCTCCAGGGTTCCATTAATCATGGCCCCTCAGACAGCCAACCTTGATTACAAGTGGCAAGAAATTCATTAGAGCCGCGCCTCTGACAACTTTTATCTCCGCCACTAGCTCTGACTCATTAGGCAGCCAAATTAAGGCTATGATGGCACTGATGAAATTCATCGCTTGTTTATCCTGTGTGATTTGATGCATCTGCCCATACATCAGCGGCGCGGGCGTCCACCAGACACTCCCCAGGATTCAGGCCTCGCGCTTCCCGTCCATCCTCTTCGAAGACTCGGCCGCAGCCGCGGTCCTTCCGCTTCCGGAGAACGGCACGCTGATGAACGGGAATAGCCGCGCTTTCTAACGACCCGTTAATGAAACAAATGCTCGGATATCAATTAAACAATTAATCTGATTGTCATAATGAGAGTGTTCCGCTCTTGACAAGCTGTGCTGGTACTCCCATCACCGCATCCTCGGAACAGCACCTTGTGGAATTTCTCTGTAGGCTATTTGGTTTAGGATTCATATATAATTTTTTTTTTTAGTGGCGGTGCTATAATAATTAAAACTAGTATAATTGGCATAATGAGAATGCTAATTAGCAGAGTCTCTAAATGAGGGGATATGTAAATGCACCAGCTCATAGGCATTTACCACTAGCGGTTACTGGAGGCTGAAGCAATTAACTCACACACTACACACTCGTGTCAGAGCGGCATGCTGACAATACAAGTCAAGAAAGTTCAGAGATTCCTCATTAGTTTAGGAGATTGTTTTCTGTGTGCATAATTTATGGGATTGTTTTGGGGAATTGTGTTTCGTGCTTTAAGTGAGCTAAATGTAAAGACATGAGCTCTGCAACAGGTGAGCTGGTGTCTTTCAGGTCAGAGTGCAGTTTTCTCCAGAGTGTGGATTCACGTCTCAGTGTTGTTTTCTCCTGCCTATTAGCACTTATGAGAGAAAACAGTTGCTAGTGTGTCATATGTCATGGTATCTTACACTTGGCATGTTTCTAGCCCTGAAAGCAGCTTCCAGTTAGCCTACATCCACACTGGTTGTGCCTGATTCGTATTGCTGAAAAAGTAGAGCATATGCCAGAGTTATGGGTTCGATTCCCAGGGAACGGATGAAAAAAAATTACACCTAAGAAGTCACTTTGAGATAAACATGTCTAACAAATGCATAAATGTGATCCTGTCATGTACACACAGCAGCAGAATATTATCAGTCTTGTTTCTAACATGATGCTCCAGAGACCGGCATAAACAAAGTATGGCTACTAATAAACAAAAATGACTGGATTATAATGTCTCCAGTTACTAATAATACTTTGGTCAAAAGAAGTCAGGAATTGTTGCTCCCATGAAACAACAACCTGTTGCCGTGGTTGGTTACCACTGTATCAATCATCAACCAGTTTGCAGGTGTGAATCCTGTGTTCCGTTCACACACAGAACCGTGATTTAGATTTAGATGCTGTTATCATTCCTAAAACTTGCCGGTGTGTATATGGCCTAAGTCTAGTTTTCTGCTGGTGAGTCTGTGAGACTTAGGCTGGAATCAACTTAACTTAATGGTGCAGTTTATAAAGTTTGTTACATAGTTCAGTGAATCTCAACCTTTTGGCGTACCGGACCCCAGTCCAATTCAGAACCATCCTCAAAGACCCCCAGAACAAAATTGACTCGTATCATTTGTGTCTTTGTGAGGACCAAATGCAGTCAAGTATAATTCAAGTTAGCTGACTTGTCCAGTATTTGGCCATATCATCAGCTATATTGGATTTTTCTTTCATGGGAGCATGTCAAAATATACAAAAATTCATACTTTATACGGACCCCCTGGCCTTATGTCAAGGACCCCTGGTTGAGAAACACTGACATAGTTCACTTTAATCTCAAAGACGTTTTGTTCCAGCAGCACTTTAATTTTTGTCTCCATTTGCATATTGGCAAAATGTACTGCTGTAAGACCAAAAGCAGCCTTCATTATCACTATACTTCTAGCCCAGATTTCTGGTTACTTCATGCATCATACATCAACATTTTAATAAATAAAAATAACATTTAATAACAATTTAAATAAAGATTTATGTTAATTATATAATTATGTACTTTAACGCTAAATTCTATCAATTTAACACTACATTTAGTATATGCATTTAGTTTAACATTAAAACAATGGAACGTTAGCATGGCATATAATGTGGCCAAGGCTTTAATGAATTACACTGAAGTATCTTGAAAATTCAGTACCTATAAATGAAACGTATATGATTGTGTTTTCTCAGAGTACTTTTATATAGTTTTCATATTACACTCCTGTACATATATTTTATACATTCCTGTAGCTTAAACATCATGGTGCTGCTTAGCAACGCCAAGGTCATGGGTTCGATTCCCAGGGAATACATGAACTGATCAAATGTTTATCTTGAATGCAATGTAAGTCGCTTTGGATAAACACATCTGCCAAATGCATAAATGTAAATAGTTTACCTTCATGCAAAGCAGTTTTCCAGCATCACTGTATATGTTGATGTAGTCTGTGCACAGACTGTATGACTGAATAAGACTCAACCCTGGAACGGAGAGAGAGAGAGAGAGAGAGAGACCCAGCGTGGTCTTTCGCTCTCTCCTGTAATGATTGATGTTGAAGTTCATTACAGTGTGCTGGATATGACCAGTGTAATAGAGCTCCATCACTCTCATCTGAGACAGCACAGCCTCCCAAAGAGAGACAAATGAGTCCTGTGCTCATTAACAAAAAAAACCTCTCACTCTCTCTGCTCAGCTCAAAGCTACCAGACCTGGACTAAAAGCCCCCCCAAAAAGTCAATTTTGCTTTCATAAGCGGTTTAATTGTCATTTGATGTTCTCTTTCTTCGCATTCTCTCAATCTTGCGTTTATCACTTGTTCTTTCTCTCCCGTCCTTGTTTGGATTCTCCGTGTCTCTCTCTCGCTCGCTCTTCTCAGTGCGTTAATTTGCCTGAGAATGCATTAGCTGTAATGAGAGCTGAAGGCCGAGGGAATCCTCCAGGGTTCCATTAATCATGGCCCCTCAGACAGCCAACCTTGATTACAAGTGGCAAGAAATTCATTAGAGCCGCCACTAGCTCTGACTCATTAGGCAGCCAAATTAAGGCTATGATGGCACTGATGAAATTCATCGCTTGTTTATCCTGTGTGATTTGATGCATCTGCCCATACATCAGCGGCGCGGGCGTCCACCAGACACTCCCCAGGATTCAGGCCTCGCGCTTCCCGTCCATCCTCTTCGAAGACTCGGCCGCAGCCGCGGTCCTTCCGCTTCCGGAGAACGGCACGCTGATGAACGGGAATAGCCGCGCTTTCTAACGACCCGTTAATGAAACAAATGCTCGGATATCAATTAAACAATTAATCTGATTGTCATAATGAGAGTGTTCCGCTCTTGACAAGCTGTGCTGGTACTCCCATCACCGCATCCTCGGAACAGCACCTTGTGGAATTTCTCTGTAGGCTATTTGGTTTAGGATTCATATATAATTTTTTTTTTTAGTGGCGGTGCTATAATAATTAAAACTAGTATAATTGGCATAATGAGAATGCTAATTAGCAGAGTCTCTAAATGAGGGGATATGTAAATGCACCAGCTCATAGGCATTTACCACTAGCGGTTACTGGAGGCTGAAGCAATTAACTCACACACTACACACTCGTGTCAGAGCGGCATGCTGACAATACAAGTCAAGAAAGTTCAGAGATTCCTCATTAGTTTAGGAGATTGTTTTCTGTGTGCATAATTTATGGGATTGTTTTGGGGAATTGTGTTTCGTGCTTTAAGTGAGCTAAATGTAAAGACATGAGCTCTGCAACAGGTGAGCTGGTGTCTTTCAGGTCAGAGTGCAGTTTTCTCCAGAGTGTGGATTCACGTCTCAGTGTTGTTTTCTCCTGCCTATTAGCACTTATGAGAGAAAACAGTTGCTAGTGTGTCATATGTCATGGTATCTTACACTTGGCATGTTTCTAGCCCTGAAAGCAGCTTCCAGTTAGCCTACATCCACACTGGTTGTGCCTGATTCGTATTGCTGAAAAAGTAGAGCATATGCCAGAGTTATGGGTTCGATTCCCAGGGAACGGATGAAAAAAAATTACACCTAAGAAGTCACTTTGAGATAAACATGTCTAACAAATGCATAAATGTGATCCTGTCATGTACACACAGCAGCAGAATATTATCAGTCTTGTTTCTAACATGATGCTCCAGAGACCGGCATAAACAAAGTATGGCTACTAATAAACAAAAATGACTGGATTATAATGTCTCCAGTTACTAATAATACTTTGGTCAAAAGAAGTCAGGAATTGTTGCTCCCATGAAACAACAACCTGTTGCCGTGGTTGGTTACCACTGTATCAATCATCAACCAGTTTGCAGGTGTGAATCCTGTGTTCCGTTCACACACAGAACCGTGATTTAGATTTAGATGCTGTTATCATTCCTAAAACTTGCCGGTGTGTATATGGCCTAAGTCTAGTTTTCTGCTGGTGAGTCTGTGAGACTTAGGCTGGAATCAACTTAACTTAATGGTGCAGTTTATAAAGTTTGTTACATAGTTCAGTGAATCTCAACCTTTTGGCGTACCGGACCCCAGTCCAATTCAGAACCATCCTCAAAGACCCCCAGAACAAAATTGACTCGTATCATTTGTGTCTTTGTGAGGACCAAATGCAGTCAAGTATAATTCAAGTTAGCTGACTTGTCCAGTATTTGGCCATATCATCAGCTATATTGGATTTTTCTTTCATGGGAGCATGTCAAAATATACAAAAATTCATACTTTATACGGACCCCCTGGCCTTATGTCAAGGACCCCTGGTTGAGAAACACTGACATAGTTCACTTTAATCTCAAAGACGTTTTGTTCCAGCAGCACTTTAATTTTTGTCTCCATTTGCATATTGGCAAAATGTACTGCTGTAAGACCAAAAGCAGCCTTCATTATCACTATACTTCTAGCCCAGATTTCTGGTTACTTCATGCATCATACATCAACATTTTAATAAATAAAAATAACATTTAATAACAATTTAAATAAAGATTTATGTTAATTATATAATTATGTACTTTAACGCTAAATTCTATCAATTTAACACTACATTTAGTATATGCATTTAGTTTAACATTAAAACAATGGAACGTTAGCATGGCATATAATGTGGCCAAGGCTTTAATGAATTACACTGAAGTATCTTGAAAATTCAGTACCTATAAATGAAACGTATATGATTGTGTTTTCTCAGAGTACTTTTATATAGTTTTCATATTACACTCCTGTACATATATTTTATACATTCCTGTAGCTTAAACATCATGGTGCTGCTTAGCAACGCCAAGGTCATGGGTTCGATTCCCAGGGAATACATGAACTGATCAAATGTTTATCTTGAATGCAATGTAAGTCGCTTTGGATAAACACATCTGCCAAATGCATAAATGTAAATAGTTTACCTTCATGCAAAGCAGTTTTCCAGCATCACTGTATATGTTGATGTAGTCTGTGCACAGACTGTATGACTGAATAAGACTCAACCCTGGAACGGAGAGAGAGAGAGAGAGAGAGAGACCCAGCGTGGTCTCTCGCTCTCTCCTGTAATGATTGATGTTGAAGTTCATTACAGTGTGCTGGATATGACCAGTGTAATAGAGCTCCATCACTCTCATCTGAGACAGCACAGCCTCCCAAAGAGAGACAAATGAGTCCTGTGCTCATTAACAAAAAAAACCTCTCACTCTCTTCCTTTAGATCATCTGTACTGGTCATCATAGAATCAAACGATTGTTGTCTGCTGCTTTGGGTCAATGTCTGTCTTTCTCAATTACATGTGGTTGTAAAAGTATGCTTTCATATTCATTGTCTCTTTCAAATTCCCCTCTCATTATACAAGTAGGCCATACTTTTCAGTTAATAAGGGAAACGGTGAGACTTTTAAGTCACAGTTATGGGACAAATAAGCTACACTCTAAAAAATGCTGGGTTAAATATAACCCAGCGCTGGGTTAAAAAGGGACAAACCCAGCTATTGGGTTGTTTTGACCCTCGTGTTTTTAATTGAAAGTCGACAAAGTGTTTCCTAAAAAAGTCACTGAATGTCCTTCTAGATACTGGAATGGTCTCCTTTTAGGTGTGCTTCATGCATCTGTGGCGTGTGACCCCTGACCTGTGGGAATGTGGGTCATGTAAATGTTCGTTTGAGCAGTTCAGGGTCATTTTCATTGAGGAGTTCATGGCCTGCTGCCGGGTTCGATCTGTTGATGTTGACTCCGCACTGCGAACCTGTTGACGTGCACGGGAATGGGCACCACGATTTTGGGGTTCCTGATGGGCTCCCCGGATCTGTTGTTGACGTTGCCGGCTTTGATCCGTTTCCATTTGGCCCTGCGGTTCTGGAACCAGATTTTGACCTGGACCTCGCTGAGTTTGAGTGCGTGCGCGATCTGAGAGCGCTCGGTGAGGGACAGATACTTCTTACAGTGAAACTCCTTCTCGAGTTCCAGCAGCTGTTCGCTAGTGAAAGCAGTCCGCCTCCTCCGGCTCTTTCCCGCAGAGCCGCCCGGCGGTAACGCGTCCTGTGAGCCGCCTTTGAGTTTGCTTTTCTGGGACGCTGAAGCGCAGGTGTTCCCGTCGGAGAAGCTTTCGTTCTCGCTGTCGGCTGAACTGTCCTCCCGGTCACTGCACGCGGCCTCCGCTGATTTCAGGTCCAGTTTCTCATCATCTGAACTGTAGAGCTTGGTTTCGCCTGAAGAGAAGGAAAATTAGGAGATTAATCGTTACAGATATTCCACACAGATTCGGTCAGTTCAATGGGCAAATGTAGTAGGCTGTTTCAAGCTATATTTCGACCCACTAAAATTGAAGTTGCATAACAGGTGGTGACGAAATGCAGCGAAAAGTCCTTTTTGACAACCTCCAATTAATTACTGATGAAAAAAAATTCGAGTTGAAATCAAGTACTACAAATGAATTGTCAAATTCTGTAACAAGATGTAAATAGACCTACTAAAGTGCGCTAGAATGTTACAGTAATTGTTAATCGTTTGCTTTCTGCTCGCACCGCGAACCTGTTGACGTGCACGGGAATGGGCACCACGATTTTGGGGTTCCGGACGGGCTCCCCGGATCTGTTGTTGACGTTCCCGGCTTTGATCCGTTTCCATTTGGCCCTGCGGTTCTGGAACCAGATTTTGACCTGGACCTCGCTGAGTTTGAGTGCGTGCGCGATCTGAGAGCGCTCGGTGAGGGACAGATACTTCTTACAGTGAAACTCCTTCTCGAGTTCCAGCAGCTGTTCGCTAGTGAAAGCAGTCCGCCTCCTCCGGCTCTTTCCCGCAGAGCCGCCCGGCGGTAACGCGTCCTGTGAGCCGCCTTTGAGTTTGCTTTTCTGGGACGCTGAAGCGCAGGTGTTCCCGTCGGAGAAGCTTTCGTTCTCGCTGTCGGCTGAACTGTCCTCCCGGTCACTGCACGCGGCCTCCGCTGATTTCAGGTCCAGTTTCTCATCATCTGAACTGTAGAGCTTGGTTTCGCCTGAAGAGAAGGAAAATTAGGAGATTAATCGTTACAGATATTCCACACAGATTCGGTCAGTTCAATGGGCAAATGTAGTAGGCTGTTTCAAGCTATATTTCGACCCACTAAAATTGAAGTTGCATAACAGGTGGTGACGAAATGCAGCGAAAAGTCCTTTTTGACAACCTCCAATTAATTACTGATGAAAAAAAATTCGAGTTGAAATCAAGTACTACAAATGAATTGTCAAATTCTGTAACAAGATGTAAATAGACCTACTAAAGTGCGCTAGAATGTTACAGTAATTGTTAATCGTTTGCTTTCTGCTCCATTTTAAGCTTTAATTCTACAGACATTATTTCATAAATATCCTAAAGCATCATAAAATCCAACAAGAGCGTATATTGACGCGTTTTTTTCTACAAGTGCAGGCCTGTTTACATAGTCAATCTACTAAAACTGACTTTGCTTGTTACCTTACATTTTTAAATTTAAAGTGAGAGCTTCATTGCACTTTTTATATGGTGTTTAAACTCAAAAGCTCAATTAGAAATGACAGTATTGTAGCAGGTTGGATGGGGAAATATAGTTTTATAATGAAATAATAATAATAATAAAAACTGTGCTGAAACTACAGAATAATTGTGCGAATTATGGGTTAAAATGTGCAATTTAAAATGATTTAAAATTTCTTAAATATTAAATAAAATTATATTGGCTTTATATCGGCGACCCTGCTTTCCAAGAGATCGGCTGTCAAAAAAACAGTATCGGTCGACAAACTAGTATCTTCATGTTATTTATATGACAATGTGCCGTAAATTACCGATCAAATCATTTCATTTAGACTGGAGGTGAAACCAGACCAAAGCACAAGGCAGTGTGAAATGTATACATTTCAAAAACGTTTTCAGATGACGTTTCAGGCGCCACAAAAGTGAGGTAAATTCGCTAAACGTATGACCTGCGCTAGCGTTCGCCTGAGGGGGTAACCATAGCAACCACAGGCAGCGCGAGCGCTTTCCGTTACGACCCGGGCGGAACTTCGACAAAACAAGTAGGCCAACTCTCATTATTTATCACTTTGTTTAACATTTAGGCTATATATTGAAAGTACATAACAAAAAATAATTTCGTTTAGATGGTTTACATCACGTTTGAGTGTTAGGGCGGCGAAAACACCGATCAATTCCGTGAGACGCTTTCAACAGATTAACGTTACATCCAGAAATTAGGCTACTGACAGAAATTCTCTTAAAATGCGACCCCCTGAAAGTCACTGAATAATCCGCACACTGGTGATAAATAACTGCTTCGTTTGACATCAACAAAATCTGCCTCTTTATTTAAAAAGTCGTATTTTTATTTATTTATTTTAATTTAATGACCTTGACACGCAGCCATGAGGGTCTGTTTTTGTCAAATACTTCAGACTTTAAAGAGACGTTTTTATGTTCCTTTTTTTTGTGACAATCTCTGGACAAACAACATCTAAATGACTGTAGTTCATAAATTAAACACATGTTAATCATAGAAGATGTGCATTCAAGTCGTATGAAATCCGTTTCTATTTTAAAGATCCAGACAAAAAGAGCTTCATCTTCACAGATATTCAGAGGAAAGATCCATTGGTGGAAAATCACACAGATAATTTGACGAGATGTTAAGTACACGGACAATTAAGAAGGACACGACTTTAAGAGAAAAAGTAATCATACTTTTCTTGAATAGTTGAGAATATAATTTCGATTTTAGAAGAAAAATAATAAAAGAAAAACAAAGAAAAGGGTCTAAAATTGTACCCTCTGAGCGGGTTCTCTTTCCCCGCTAAGCATTAATTTAATCGGAGATCATTTTACCGTTTAAATGCCAATTCACTTCTGATGATGATTAGGCGCTATTGAGTCCTGCGGGGCGCGAGCTCTCCAACTGGCCGTCTGATTGCGCGAGGACATAAACACATCACCTCCGACTCTGATTAGCGACGGAGGACCCACAGATGCTAATTATTCTTATAATTGCAAATGACTCCATTCAGGAGCAGTGCTCTTTGATCTATTGAAACCAGACAGCTCTCTCTCTCTCTCTCTCTCTCTCTCTCTCTCTCTCTCACTCACACACACCCGATTGAGATACACTC